CCTAAGTGTTGCTCGCAGATGATGTTTCAGGTAATAAATCATATTGCCCTCCGTTGCAATGTACATGCGAGCGCCCTCTCGGATCTAATGCAACGGTGGTGATGGGAAATAGAGGAACAGCCGTCATACCAATTATTCTATCAGAGGGTATTGGCCAATATTAAGTCCGTGCGACTAAGATCTTCCCTCTAAAATTAAAAAATCACAGTAAAAGATATTGTTTCCATGGCGGCAGTTTATTGGATTCGGAAGGAATCATGAGGAACTATCCTACGAGCTCTGTGTCTATGACAAATGTTCTGCAAACGCGAAGAGATATGTTGATGAGGATCTGCGACCTGAACAAAGACAGTTTTAGAATTACTTGAGTGCCACTGGTTGTGTAGAGGATCCAAGCCAAGTATCTCAGCAGTTAAGTTTGCGACTGCTTCCTGCCAGCATTGGCAAATAATGGTTTTCATATGCTGCATTTATTCTCCGACGACCTTTGTCCGCGAAACAATTAACTCTTCCCATGTTTGGAAAGCGATTTCAGATTTTGAGATCACGCTTCGAGGAATATTCAGGCCTCTGGATACATCAAACTGCATTAGACTCGTCTCGAGTCTGCTGAGCACTGGCCATTTCTGACATTGATCTTAATGATGTCTTTCCGACATTATTAAGAGTATCTGACATCTTCCAGACCTACAACTTTCCGTGTAACGTTAACTATTTTAAGCTGAAACTGATGTAACCATCCGCTGGTTAGCATCTCGGCCAAGACATTCCGTTATCAAAACTATTTTATAAAATTGAGCTGCATGACTTGCTCCTTGGATCTGTTCCTTAACGTCACTACAGAGGTGACATGTCTATTGAATGGCGAGACATTCAACCAGTTAAGAGATCAAGGGTCATGAATTTAGATAAAGATTGTTAGTGCTATGAATTGTCGAACAAAATTGTAAATAAAAATAATGTTTAATGAAATTTAAAATAGAATTGTTTCTGCGATGCACGGCGACGAGGGTGCATACATTTTTCTGAGTCATGAATGACATTTCTGGTGCGGAATGAATTTATTTTGCGAAAAGAAGAATAAGGGAACGGAGAAATAAATAATATATATATATATATATATATAATATATATATATATATATATTAATTCAGAGAAATTCAATTCAGGGAGGAGGACATTTGTGAAGAATGTGCTAGTTTATTTACAGAGTGAAATCTGGTGGCTGAAAATCATATAGTGAAATAATAAGAAGGGAAAGACGCAGGAAAATGTGATGCTATGCATTTAATACATATACCGCTAAAGCAGCCATGATAAACACAGTAAGTACAATAATTAAACTGGATAACAATTAAATTGGAAATAACAAGGTCACCCTTGTTATTGGTGTTAACATGACTAATAACAAGGGTTGACCTATTTTCTAAGATTTCAATTCACGTTTAACTAAGATATATACGAGATTATCAGACATATTTTCTTTTATGATTTGCTCGTGTTCGTTTATTTGCTTATTCTTTGCTCAAATATCAGGGCGGCAGTTGGCTTTCATGTTCAGTAGCAGATACTACAAAAAATATTGAATACAATCTACAATAGAATTTAATTATTCAATAGAGTTTAATCTATCTTTATACAGTTAAAACCACTTTTATGATCATTTTTATTTTAATTTTTAGTAACAGCGTGAATGATTTAAGTATGAATATATATATATATATGGTATTTACAAAATTATTCTAATCTTAACGTTCATGTAAACTTTTGTAAATCTGTACATTAAAGCTGTCTGCATCTTACTTACAAACGCAAATAATGAGTTTTCTATTGAATTAAACTGAGAATTCCCCTTTTTTCATTACACTATTTTAGGGTTCAAGAGCAACAGTTACAAATTTATATAAACAGGTAACTAAATGATTAGAAAAATATAGCAAGCTTCTTTTATATGAATTGCTGTTGCATCTTAATCGAAAACAACATGAACAAATCGCTTATGCATCCCAATCGCCTGTTGCATCTTAATCGAAATCAGCACCAGCAATCCCTTATACACCTTGTAGAGAGACATTAGGATTTTCTGGAAGCAAGAGAGATGAAATATTAGCAATTTCCTTGGCCGGGAATCGAACCACGGACCTCTGGAATACCGGCCCAGCGTGCAGAACCAAAACACTACGAAGGTACGCTAGGAAGACGGGAGAAATACCTTATATACTTCCCCTTTTAAAGGGCGACTGGGGTTTTTTTAGGGGACCCAGTCGCCAAATCTGAGTGCGGAGAATCATCATCCAACAATCCTTTGGGTTCGTGCGCCACTGTAGAAACATTAGGTATTTTTTGGAAGCAGGAGAGATGCAAAATTAGCAACTGCCTTCGCTGGGAATCGAACCACGGACCTCTGAAATACCGGCTCGGTGTGCCGACCACTACACCACGAAGGCACACTGGAAAGGCGGGAGAAATACCTTATAACCTCATCACTGTTGTGATTCCTATTATCTTTTGTCTTAATCGCTAAACTTCTGCATCTTTTATGAAACAATTTTAGCATCTATTTGTTGGCTGAGTTAAGCAAATTGAAACAATTGGAATACAAGTTTTGAGATACTCAAGTATTCCCCATACAATTCTCGGAATGTAATTCCACATATTATTCTCAATTCTGCGTTAATAATAATAATAATAATTAATGTAGAATTTTAACTTGTACTGCGATTATTGATATACAAGTCTTGAAATTGCATTAAAAGAGTCATGTAAAAAAGTAAACTAAGCATTACAAGCTACAAACTAGTATTACAAACTAATATAACAAAGGTTTGTTTTGAAACTCTCAAATATAACTGCTAAGGCGATTTTTTTTTCGGCCCTGTTGAAGAAAGAAGATATTAAAAACCCAGAACAATAGATTTTGTAGCTCAATAATTAAATTCCCTGGTACAAAAGTAGCCGAAAAGAAAACCCACTGCGCGATCTTCTTAAAAATGTGCTGAATATGTTTATTTACCGTAGCTAGATTTAAAAGATTCAAATGAAAGCATTCGTATTCGTATCAGAGTTTCTAGAAAGATGCTTGAAGTTTTATGATCGCCATTTCTTTTTTAAGATTCTTATTAAGGCTTCTTTTTGAAGGTTTTATAATCACCATTTCTATTTCAAGTTCTCACTTGAAATTAAGCTTTTTTTTATACTTCAGAAATGTAATAAAAAATCTTAATTTTCTTTTGGAAGCTGTAAACCTGCATTCTAAAATGATGTTGATTATCTATTTAATGTTGTACTTAATTTCTCAAATTTTTATCTTCTGATTTTTATAGAGCATATTCATTGGATCTTTCAGTTAAAATTTTAAATAACCAGAATTATAATACGATATACAAATAATATATAATATAATAATATACAAATAATCGAGCTTTTAAAATTATTATAATGTCAAATATTGTAGAAAATGTTTATAACTCCCTTTAGACATTTAACATATTTTCTAGGAGTTAAACAGCATCTAATAATCATGCTAGTTAAACTAATATATCAAGAGAAACGGAAAATAGTTCTATTTGGTTTGGCTTATTTGGTTATGGCAAAGCACCCAAAGGCCATTAGGGAGGGACCCAAAGGCTTAGGAAGCTAAAGGAAGTGGTGTCTCTGTAGAGGACTTTCTAAGGGAAAAAGGGAAATTGGCTCGTATCTACGTTATACGTGGGGAAAGTCACGTTAACGCCCATGCAGCTAGCCCCTAGCCATGCAGAAACGAACCCACGTCGTACTACCAGTGTTCAGTTTAGCTCTCGGCTACTGGTGGGACAGGACATTTACTGGTGTTAAGATTTATATATGTAATTCTTTATTATTCTGGCTAAGAATATCAGTATTACTAACTCTTAATGAATTTAACTTTGGAGGTGTATATGCTATAAGCATAGATCAAGAGTAAGCAATCTCGCTGTCCTTAGTCTTTGCAGAAAAGCTCGGTCAGCGTCGACTAAACAGAAAAAAAAAAATAATAAATAAATAAATAATTAATTAATAAAAAATAAAAATTAAAATTAAAAAACGTTTTACCTGCTTGGGAAAAAATAAAATAGCAAAAAGTAACATTAAACACTAAAAGATAATTTTAATGTTACAAATGAAGGTAAACGTATGGTACGGGTTCAATAGATAAAAACAAAACTATATTTTTGAATCATTTAGCAAATTATGATAACATATTTATTTCTATTATATTTAACATTATAAGACTGAAAATACGTACATAATGAGGAAATAATGTTTAATGTTTACATACTCACCTGTAGAGGTAATTTGGTGTTTCTCATGAACATTTATTAAAAATAAGTCTTGGGCAATGCTTTAAAAGCAAATAAAAAATAGTTTTCTCAAAGCACATTTTCTTGCAATTCATATATCTTGAAAATGCACCATGAAATTCATTTTCTGCTGCAAACGAATGGCATTTGGAAGAAACTGTCTTGTTATATGCTACAGTAAATGCGCGTATTCATTTTTGGATATAAGTATATTGAAAAGTTTAAATTTGTGACAACGTTTACCAAAAAAATGAAATTTTTGTCAAAACTGGGATTGAATTCACAAAAATAATTTTTAAAAATTCACTATGTTCAGATTCAAAAACGAATAACCAAATATTTTTGTCAAAGTGTTTTAAAAATTTAACGCAAAAGCTACAATAAAACATTGAAAATAAAAGCGCAAGAAGCATTTTAAAATTTTATTTAAAAAAATTCCATTTTTTTAAGAAAACTGAATTTTTAGAAAGTTGAAAATTTTAACAGATATTTATAAAATGATGTTATAAAATATACGAAATTTTTTGCTTAGAAAACAAATTCGTAAAAAAAAAAAAATTAAGTTCCCTGTCTCATCAATGCCGCAAATTCTTAAAAACTGTGCTTTAAAACTTAATCGACAAACAAACAATCTTATTTAGTTAAAAAAATACTATAATTACGTAGTAGATGTGTACGTACCCAAGCATATATATATATATTTTGAGAACTGCAATACGTCCTTTAAAGCATCCATCACAATTTGCAACATGCAGACGTTTCCTGTTTACAAGGAAAATTCAAATTTTCATTAATATCGCAATGGAATGGAAATGAATGACACTGGGAATTGTCCTTTTTGCGGAAAGTGTATTTTCCAAGATTGTTTCGAATTTAACTGACAGTAATTAGTATTTTACTTGCTAAACGAATGCATGAAATCTCTCGGAGCGTCAGCACGTGAAATCAGGATATCCGATCTTGGCTTTTTCCCCCTTCCATTGTTCTAAAAAGCTGCTGACTGAAATATCCTACCACCCCTTGTGAAGCATAAATAGTCACCTAAGCAGGCGAAATACAGTGAAATAAACTAAAGCATAATAATACGTCTCCTTCATAAATCTTACGGTTATCGTTAATGCGATGCGTTTAAATTAGTTTTCAATATTTTAGTTTACACAATTAGAACAAACAATCTACGCGCTTTAAATAGACTCTTTACTTTGATACCTAAGATGCTGGATGGTTGATCACTGAAATCTAATACTGAGGTTTATTTTTGGTAAAGCATTAAATCTTGTCTTGTCAGGAAAATAGAAGTTAATTTTCGTATGACACCTTCCATAAAGTCCTCTCTCCGGCAGATAACCCTCGCATGATTTGTAGCAACCAATTAATCTACTTACATATTTGCATAAACACATTCAATTTAAGTACTTTGCTAATTATATGCTTGTGGAATAAACGTCTACTCATTCGGGAAAGGAATATGTTTTCAATTATCTGGTAAAAAATTGGGGAAGGGTAATCTTTTCATGAATTGCATATCCGTGATAGTTTCCCAAAGATATGTTTCTACCGTCAACAGCATTATCCTCAGTAATATACATTAAAGAAGAACTACAAAAACAAATATTTGAAACCTTAAAAAATAAAGCTGTCAATTAATGAAACCATTCATACTTAAAGCCCAGTCTGAATAGTAAGCAAAATCAGGAAATTCGCAATTTGCATAACTAAGGCTTTTCATTATGCCATTTTGTGTCTGCAATATATTTCATCTAATGCTATTCAAAAGTACTTGGGAGAAACCATTTATTTATAATAAGTCATTTTCAATGTGAATTGCGATGTACACTGCTGACCATTAAAATTGCAACAACATGAAGGAAAGAGAATACAAAAATGACATTTATTGTACGTAAACAGGATGGCATAAAGACAAAATGATGAAATTTGTAAGCAGTTTGGATGTTTACAGGGGTGCGAAATTAGAAGAAACAGCTGCCACTCCTGGCAGCTAAAACGGCCCTTACCCGGTTAGGCATGGTGTCGAACTGGGGTTGGATGGCAGAAACGGGCAACTCAATCCTGCTGCTTCAAATCTATGCCACTCTTCATCAACCGTATTAGCACGAGAGGAGTAGCGAACCAGTTTCTCAGCAACCCCATGACCAAATGTTTTCAATGGGTGGCAGATCTGGAGACCGCGCAGACCAGGGAAGCAGTCGAATACCCTATATATCGAGGAAGGTCAGAACACGACGTGCAACATGTGGTCTTGCATTATCTTGTTGGAAAATGGCGTTTGGCAGACCTCGAAGATAAACCACAACCACTGGACGTAAGATGTCAGAAATGTACCAATCTCCGTTCAAATTACCATCGATACGAACTAGAGGTGTGTGTGTCGTGTAACAAATGGCTCCCAAACCATCACACCAGGAGCAGGGCTCCTATGCCGATATCGAACGCAAGCAGGCGACGTGCGGTCTCCTTGTAGCCTTCAGACACGTATTCGGCCATCAGAATACTGCACGTAGAACCGGGACTCGTCTGAAAAGACGACATTGTGCCACTCCCTACATCCAGCTTTGTCGTTCGGCGCACCAGAGTCACTGTCTCTCTCTAGACTGCACTGTCAAGGAAAGCCGAAGTAATGGTCGCCGTGCTTATATTCCACGCTGCTGCAAACGTCGACGCACCGTACGAGTGGTTACTGGGTGTGTTGCAAACATACCCATTTCCTGATTAATGAGCCGCGATGTGGTTTTGCAGTTTTGAAAGTCTGTCCTCTCGGGCGTTGGTCATCGGAGGGCGTTGAGATCCTGCATGCCGTTCAGCATGCTCCTCCGCAACCCAATGATTCCATATCCGCATGATAGGGGTTGGATTTCGACCAGTCCGATGGGCGATATCAAGGAACGATAATCCACACTCTCGATAGGCAATGATCCTACCTGTATCGAATTCCGACATTTGCTGGTAAGCATTTCTTCTTCGTATTCGAGGCATAACATGATATCATGAGCAAACTCTGACCTTACAAAGCGCTTTCCGAATAAGAAATCCACTACACAACTTTTCTTTTAGGTAGTGCTTCAGATGTCGTTTCTGCCTCTTGTGTCATTTAAATGCGCTTGAAATACTAATCATTTACATATCCCAACCTCTTCTTCTTTTCATCTGATTTTGACGTTTGTCAGATCACACCTTCTTGGTGCTGCAATTTTAATGGCCAACAGTGTATTTATACTTATATTGGAGCATACTTACTATATGGCTTCATAAGCGTTTTTAAATTGCATGGAAAAGATAAAAAATAATGTACGAAAACTTTCTGCTGTATACAATGTTGATACTAGTAGTACACTAGTACGTTTTATGTTTTTGTGAGATATTGTCAAAAGTTTCAGGCAGTATTTGAAAGTTTTAAAGCCACGAAAGCATCCATGCAGCCGATCCGTTCGCCGGGTTTCGAACTTCGGACGAACTACCAGTGTTCAACAACTTTACCGCTAGGCCGCTGGTGGGCCTTCCTTTTTTTAACTTTTTAGGCTTTCGATAGTGAATAAATAACCTAAGCACATTTTGAAATTATGTTTCTTTAGATGATCTTACGTTAGTACGATACTGGCATTCCTTGATAATAAAAGAAACTATACTTATTGAAATGAATTTTCAATACTTGTTTAAAGCAAGTTATATCATAAGTAGCATTTTATTGGGTTGAAGCATAAGTAGTGGACTTTAATTTAAAAATTTTTATTTTAACAAAACAAAAAACAATAAATTAGTCAATAATATCTGAGTTTTTGGATTTTTCCCATAGACCCAAGATGTCGAACTATAGTCATTTGGCTACAATCCATTCGAGTATAATTATATTAATAAATTATGTTGTACAGCTATTTATCTTTAAAATATTTAATTAACGGAGAAAAGTCCTATGTATTTATTGTTTTCATTTTAAATTTGATATTATTTTTAATAATACATTTTAAATCTTGCTTGAATTACCCACGAGAGTTCAGCTTTCCTGGAATTTCATGTAGTATTTATAGCCTTCGTGATTTTCATGGAATTTGATATCAATAGCTTCTTCATACAGAAAGGAAATAGAAGTTCCGTTTGTTCTTCTTAAGGGCAATACATTTCTAAACGGGATTCTTTCAAGGATAAATTATAAGAATAATCATAAAAATTTTACTTAGTTACTCTGATTTTATTTTTCGAAATATCAGAAAATAATTTTCAGGAGTTCGAATGGATTAAAAGAACTTTATATAAATTCTGAATATAATGAATATTCTGAATATAAAATAATGAACAGTAATATAATATCGATGCATTTTAACCAAAGTTATAGAGATAAATATATTTTGCAGTCTGAAATTAGATTTAAAGTCCATACAAGTTATTCAAGGAATCAATCAATATTACTAATTATTTCGTACCATCGAAGAGGTTAGACACATAAAGTAGTAACTTTCGTAATAAATTTGAGAAACTTCGCGAATTCTAATTATAACACATCTCTAATTATAACATATGTCTAATTATAACAGAACAATATTACAGCTGTGAATATAGTCCTTAATTCAAACTCGGTTTAGTATAAAAATCGCAAATAAGTACATTATGTGACTTCATCTAACAATAAAAATAGAAAAACAATGCTTTATTATTTCAGTGATTAAAAATACGTATTTTTACATAAAAAATTGTATTGTACGAGTAACTAAAGAAGAAACAATATTTTATGTCTCAAGGTATCTAACATAAATATTACAATCACGCAGCAGTTTTATGTAGTGAGCTCACTCTTTACGGTTCAAGAATGCGAAATGCTTTGGCTCCATTTCAAAAAAACATTCCGAAACGAAATTTATGTCTCGTGCTCGTGTCTGTAAAAAGCTTAAGAGAGCTTTCTGTAACTTACTATGAATTCTATTTTTTGCCGATTTAAGGCGCAATATTCTGAAATCAAATTCAACACGCTTCGGAATTTTTTATTTTTTTAATTTAATGAGGAAGGAATAGTGTTTCCTTAATTTAAGGTTGAAGAATGGTATTTTTTTTTAAAATTTTCTCGTTGTTTTCTACAATGTAATTCTGTTAACAAGTTTGTGCAACGTTTCTTTCCAAAGGTATATAATATATGGCATGAGCAATATCTTTTGGTATTACAATAATGTTGCTAATATTCATAAAATCTTTCATTCAGATGTACTGTAAACATATTTTAAATTGTATCAATTATATATACTATAGCAAAATAAAATAATAATTTTAATTTTTAAGAGGTGCATTTATTGGTTTTAAATCTCTCAGTGATCTATCACTGAGGTACTTAAAATCAAACAAATAAATTACAGATTGATTATATTTGAAAGATATGCTTTATCTAACGGCAGTTGTTTGAGAACTGGCTATTCGCGAGATACACTGCTCTCCAAAAGGTAAGGAAGAGCATGTTTTTCAAAGCTCACCATTACAAAAATGTCAGTAACGTTTAAATTCACAGTTTATATGTATGACAGTAACAAAGTCTAACAAAATATATGCAAAACCAATAGCTACCACTTTTATTTTATAGAAATGTTTACTTATATAGGAAATGGAGAAAAAAATACAAAAATTGTAACTGTTGTTCACGAGTGTTGATCTTCAGCTGCTATTACAGTTTCGCGGACAGTATCCGGAAGAGTCTATCAATTTCAAGGAGAAATCCTTTGCTTGATTTGTTGAGGTGACGGGCGATCGGATGGATGGAAATGGAAATGTCCCACAAGTCGTACTTCTAGATGTCTCAATGTCTCTCGTAGTCTGGTCCACCGACTATGGAACCAGTTGGAATTTGAGGATTCTGTGTCTAGAAGACATGTTCCAGGCAGACCTAGAGTTACACCTAAGGGAAGACCGTTATTTAGCTCTTTCGACCGGAAGGAGGAGTAACATTACTGTGCCTCAGCTCATGGCGAATAATTTAGTGGCAACAGGAACAAGAATCTCAGCTACTACAGTATGCAGACGACTGCACAATACACGTCTTTATTCAAGACGACCAGTTGTTCGTGTCCCCTTGACCAGAGGACACAGAGGTGCCCGTTTATGTTGGGCAAGAGAGCACTTCTCCTGGACCAGTCAACAATGTGCATATATTCTCTTTACAGATGAATCCAAATTCACATTAGAGAGTGATACAAGTTGTCAGCTGATCTGAAGAGAACAACGCACCAGATACAACTAATCCCACATTGTGGAAAGACACAGTTACAGAGGTGGCGGAATAATGACTTGGGCTGGAATCTCTCTCGGTGGTCACACTGACCTGCGTGTGTTCCATGGATGAACTTTGACAGGTGGGAGATATCGAGACGTGATCCTTGATTAATATGTCCACCCATATGCCGCTTCTATTGGTGCTGGATTTCTTCTGATGGACGACAATGCGAAACGGCACCGAGCTCGGGTTGCTGAAGAATATCTTGAGAGTCATGGTATAGAGCAGAAGGAATGGCCAGCTAAACCCCAGACTTGAATCCGATAGAGTATCTTTGGGATTACCTAGGGAGACAGGTGGCTGCTTTCAGTCCTCCTCCAAGGTCGTTAGATGAGCTTGAACAAGGATTACTCCGTGTCTTGTCGTTGCTTCCCATTTCACTGGCCGACAACTTAATTGACAGCATGGTACATCGCTACCGCCAATGTATTGCAGCTAAGAACGGACACATTCCTTATTAGAACCCATTTTTTGTAATGTTACCACCCCATTCTTCCTAAAAAAACTGTGATATACTGTTTCTCCAAGACTGGATTTCTCTGCCAAGGGTGCAAATTTTTGCTGTAATTCTTGTTTGTTGAACTTCAGTAAGATTCTATGTCGCATTCATTAAAGAACTGTTTAATGAACATGTACTGTAAATGTTTTGCTTCTATGCTGCTTCATTTTCAAATTAGACACAAAAAACCTACTGTTTCTTAATTTTTGGAGGGCAGTGTATATGGAAGATAAGTTAAAGATCTTATGTTTTGCGTAACGGCAATACATGGCACATAGGAGTAGCGTAATATAGCACATTAGCATAATATAACATAACATAATGGTCGAAAAATTTGGAAAAACCCAGCTAAAGGCGTTTTTAATATCAAAAGAAGCAACACATATTTATTTAACTTATCATTGTTAAAAAATGTCTTCCATTGGAACATTTTATTAAATTAGGTCATTTATTTTATTTACACTACATAATTAAAATTTTGATTCATGCTGAGATCTCATGAGAAGAAAAAAATTAACTTTCCAGTTTCCGTAAATTTCTATATTCTGGAAAAAATAGTAATAATAATAAACTTAAAAAAATTCAAATATTTTTCCATTCTGTGGTATATCTTCTGTATAGTAAAATCTAAACATTTAGTGGTAAGCAAAACTAAAATTAATTATAAATCAAATGATATATATAATTATATAATTTTATGTATATATATATATATCTATCTTATATATAATTATAATATATATATATAATATCATTATAATATATATAATTTAATTCAAAGAATCAATAGAGTATTTATAACTCTCCACAGTATTTTCTTATTCATGAAGGAAATCGTTTTTTATGTGATTAGTAATAGCAGCTGTATGAATTGTAAGCGAATGATATCTCTAGAGTATAGAAGGAAGAAATAAACGTCAGCTTCTCTGTAAAGAATGTAATGATAATTATATTATAGAATATTTAAAAATAATGATAAAGTTTGATGATTTTAATTATTCAAGTCATTGAAATCATCATTTCCTCAATGATGATTTTCATCGGTAATAGAAAGCGAGGTTAGTCACAAATAACTGTGCTAATTCTTTATCATTAATAGTGTTTATCTATGAAAAAATAAAATATATGTGTTCAGATATTCAGTTTTTTCAAAGGCGAAAAGCAAGTACAAATTGTTTTACTCATTAAATATTTTAAATTATCCTTGTTTTTCTTATCGATGCATGAAATTTAAATACTAGTGCAAGAAAATTAATAAATGAAAACTACGTGGGTTTTTCAGTTAAAGTTTTAAGATATTTCTCCCGCCTTCTTAGCGTGCCTTTCTGGTGTAGTGGTCTGCATGCTGGGCGCGTATTCCAGAAGTCCGTGGTTCGATTTCCGGCGAAGGCATTGTTAATTTTTCACTTCTTCCTGTTTCAAAAAAAAATACCTAATATCTCTACAAAGTATTTATTTAAGGAATTTTAGAACAGAAGAACTAAACTAAAATATTTTCTTCAATTCACTGACGAACTCTTTTAAGTGCAAGGGTACATTATAAAATGGATTATTTCTTCCAAAAGTCTCCGACCGAACACTGCTTAAAAGTGCTTCACATTTGTAATTCGATGTACACATAGCTTCATAGCGATGCCATTGCAAAAAGTTGCCAAAATGTTTATGAAAAATCAGCATTTCAATTAGATGAGGCAATTTTCGTCACAGTTCGTCAGAATCTTGTACACAGCGGTTAGGTTTCGAAGTAGGAAACATTAAGAATTGCGTTATCGCCGGGATTCGGAATACAGATCTTCCACTTACTAGCTTGGCGTGCTAACCGTGAGAGCACGCATGGGCGAAAGAGTTAATCTTACATTGTTTCCCTTTTAAAGAAAGACCGGGAAGAAGACTTGACCCAATCCATGTTGTGATGAGTTAGCATCCATTTAGTTCGGGCGCCATTGTAGAGACTCATTGAGTTTATCGAGACAGGAAATTAAGACTTCAGCTGTGCCTTCACCAGGTCTCAAACCATGGATATTCTAGTTGCTAGTTGAATATGTTAATTTATTATAAAACCGAAAGCATGCACGGGGTATATGATATGTTATAATTCCTTATAATTTAGACCTCTACGCAAATGGGATTTAAGTTTACTTTTTCTGGCTAATTTAGTAACCACCGGGATAAAATAAAATTCCAAAATTTTTACAGAAATTCACTTCACGAGCATTATAGTGCTGGCACTGTTATGCAGATGTTGCATTTTTGCAATTCAAAAAGGCAATTAAAGTTTTTTAATCTTCCGCCTGTTAACTTTTAGCATTCCGCCTTCATTTTCTCACAACATCAGAGAAACAAAATACCAGAAGTAAAAATTTTAATTTCTCTTAAAAATGATTCATACATTCATTTTTTACTAATTTTGTTTTTACGAAACTATAATCTTACAAGTAACATAAATGTATCCTATATGTGTCACTGTGCACGAATATTCAATCAATTATCTTTCAGAGCAAATGAATCGACATCTGATGCATTCCAGAATTCGTCAGTATCCAGTCCTGAAAGTGAGAATCATTCCACAACATCACCTCCAGATATATTTCATTTCGAAAACGGGCCTCTCATTTTTTTAGACAAAATGCTTCGCAAATATGACAGAAGGGCTTGGCCTTCCTATGGAACACGTAAGTTCATAAAAGTTACGTATGCTTTTACACAGTTAATTACAAATTTTTTCCCATTTGTGCTCTGTTAAAAAATTTTTATTTCGAAAAACTAGATATATTTCTAAATAATATGGTGCTATTTAATAACGACAGAATGTATTTGAGCTTATTATGATATCTTCTAATATAATTTCACGAAACACTCCATCTGCCTGACAAGTGAGAATTCATAATTTCGTACACATGCTGGAATAAATTATTAATAGGTTATGTTATTTGCTTAATTTTAATGGGGATATTTTCAACAAAAGTCACATACCAATTTTCATTTTTTTTGCATATGACATCATTCATAAAATGGCGTACGGCAGTGAAATATGATGCAACATAATACGCCTTAAGTGAGATATCAAATGTTATTTCCAGGAAATGTGTTTAGCAATAACGCATCATATCGTTCAGTAACGTATATTAAAAATTTTAAAGAGCATTCATAAGTGTTTTAAAGAATTTCAAATCCTGTTTTGATAAATTCTTAATTTTTTTAATTCTATAACATTTTCTGTTTAATGATTTTGCAAATCTTTTTAAAGGGTAATAATATTTAAGCAAACATCTTTTCGATATAGATTTGTTTAAGAAAATTATTATTATTAATAATAATGTTATTACTTTTTCAGATAAACCGACAGTAGTTTCAGTCAATATGTATGTCAATAGCTTAGGTTCAATAAATGCTGCAAATATGGTAAGCACTTGATTTTTTAGTCAGACTAATTTTATTTCTTTTCCTTATAACGTTAAAAAACGCTTTTTTTAAAGAATTTTCTAATAATTGAAATCATTGTAAAATTACATCAGACAGAACTATAATCTTCTTATATGACAAACTTAATTCAGTCTGTTGTCATTGAAATATAATGTAACCAACTGTTCATCATTGAGAAATGTTATTCATTACATTTTAAGCATGAATATTTTGCGAAATGTAAGAAATACTTCTGTGTTAACATTTTAAGCTCATTTTCTTGATTTAAAACTAATAGCGTCAAAAATACTACTGGCTTCAAACATTTGACAACGTACAAAAAAAAGTTCCTCTCAAAACTTACCTCTGCATTTGTAAACATCAAAAGTATTACGTGCATTTCTTTTATATAGGCGCATTGTTTGCTGTAACTGTGCTTCCAAAAAATTAGTTCATTCAGAGTGGTGGATTCTAAGGGAAATTTAGCACTATACTTTAAACATGTTAGAAATCCCATGGTGTTTCCCGTAATTAGTTATGTGCTGCTTACTGCGGGTGAGTGATAACATGTTGGAATTCTATCCTTAAGTTATTTTATACTTACTAATGACTTCAAAAAGAATTCTAGCTTCATATTAGTTAGATATTTAATCAAGCCAAAGATTAAACGGCGAATACTTCTATCATGTTAAATCGAAGCAATAAAGCTGAAAAATTGTGGATTTGGAAAATATATTAAAAATTTAGGATTATGTTTGTGCATTCTTATTCTTGAAACTGTTCGTCTTGCAAATAATAAATACTGTTCATAATAAATAATGTTTTAAAATAGAAACTGTTTATTTTTTTTCAGTCAGTTTCTTCTGTTGCAGTTAATAACCGGCCAGTTCCACATACGAAGTTAGAGCTAGCATATTTAAAATATTTTACAGTAACTAATTTGTTAAATTCACTGTATATAGGTGTAGTCTAGACAGTAACACAAATACCGGCCAGTTCGCGGACATAAACATTTATTCTCATAAAGAAATAAATAATTTTTATCAATGAAATTTTGATGAAAATTTTATAATTTTCATACCCGAAAAAATTAATTTTACAAAGAATAGAAACCCATGAAATAAATATACTAACTACTACTGAAATATAATATTGCATTTTTCTTAAAAAATTAAATCTTCAAATAAGCAACTAATAAGTTCGTAATTATTCATTATCATCGAAACAATACTAACATATTTATTTTATCCATTTTGTACAATTTTGTACAAACAATCTTATACGATGGAAGTGTCTAAAAGGACTTAAGTCTCAAGTGCGGCTTCTAATGACTTCAATGTACTTAGAACTTCGATCAATTCACTGGCGTGAGGAAGGAAATTTGTCACACACTTTCACATTATTTTCTTCTCACTAGCATGTACCACGCAAGTGCTGCATCAGTTTTTCGAAGTAAAAACATCAAGATGGTTAAGGAAGATTGCTGAATACACTCTGGAAAACCTGAACACTGTGCGCCGGTGCATTGTTACGCAAAAGCAATATTTTTCTTCTGAGTTTCTATTTACAGTCTGTCGAATTGGAGCCAGCACGTTAACATAAAAAATACATGTTGCCGTAGAGTTACATGACATATAATCAATGGCCAATGACCCCTTTTCATCCCCAAAAATGGCGGTCAAATTTTTCTCATCAAATTGCTGTGAACTTATGAGGCTATAGCGAGCTATCATGCATCTATACTACTTTTTTCTTATTACATTACTCAGTTTTAGTAAAAGTTTTAAATTAGGAGTAAATATTAGCAAATTACACTTTCTATGTTTACGTTTCATTCCTTACTGTTAAGTAAAGTAGAATTAATTCCCTGTGAACGCGATCTTTTGTAACAATTATTATTATTTAGCAATATTTAGTACGTTTCTAAACACGAAGACATTCCATTAGAATAGTAAGCAGCATAATATGAAGCAGATATTATGTGTTAGTCGTTTTTTATGTATTAATTCTTAACGAATTGGTTTAAGTTTTACATCGCATAAATATTTTGTATTTATCTGCTTATATATGTTTCATTCATTTATATGTTACTATTTTATTTTTGAATATTTGTATATACCAAACTGTAAATTTTGAAATGTGCAGATGCCTAATATCATTAGGCAGCAATGCCTAATGGTATTAGGCATCCGTAGATAATTTATCTTGCAATATAATTTTTGTAATATAGAATTTTCACGCAATAGTACTCACGTTTTGGGATCATTTGTGCATTGCTGGATAATTATTATTATTGCTAATACAAGCTTGTATTATTGCTTGTATTTTGTGTCTTGCCTTCTTTGTGTGTGTAATACGTTCGTGTTATTGAAATTTGCAATTAGCAAATGGATTAGCAGTGTCTGGTAGCAAGACAGTTTAAAGTAGTTCGTTGAACACTGGCACATAAAATGCCCAAGCATTGCACAACAATGAATCTCAGAACGTAGTAACCAGTTGCTAAAATATTTACTTCTGAAAAATGTTCCACTGGGCAACCTTTGTAAGAGGGTTTTATCAATTAAGTATTCAACATACATTGTTTGCATAAGACGTACTGTAATAGTAATAACCAACGACATACCTCATATTAGTGCATTCATGACATTTAGAATTGGTGAGGTCCATATTGTAAATAATCATATATTTCTAGTATTAGAAGAATTACTGTAGCATCGTTTAACTAATTAAGAATTGCGATAAATCACAAGAAACAGGAGCTTGTTCTTATTAGCTTTTTATGGATTAAAACATTGCATTATCGAGAACATTTCTAAACCACTAACTGTTATATTTTTTTAAATGTAACTATTTTGACGCAAAGTGAAAATTACTAGCACATACTGCTGTTATAGCACAAACTGATGCTATGATTGACATTTATAACATGTCACACAACCGAATTACACTGTGTAATGAATTAAAATATGTGATAAAAATAGCAGAAACAAATAAAGAATATATAAACAAGAAAACAAGATATAAACAAGTAACAGTAAATGTGTTTTAAACTGCCTTGTTTTCCCATGTATTGATTTTTTAAAAAAGAACAATAGATGCCACCTGGTCTGTCAACTTAGCCCTTAGCCATGGCTCGACAGATGGTAGATTTCATCACTGGGATAATTCACAATTCCGTTTGGTTCACTTCTCCTTATGTGCCAGCCATCTCAACGGCACACTCACTTACTCACCATACCAAACTCTTATTTCGTTTCCGAATCACAATGGAGAATGCCTGTATCATCTGCCGCATTAGCCGTGAGTAAAAATTACTTCGTAAATGCTTAGCATAGAAAACAGTTCTCCAGAACAAGCAGTACTGCTTGCCTTCCTTTCTGAAGTCAGCATTCATCTATTTGACACAAATTTTAATGTACCCAACTCTTCGTACAAGACTTATTCTATGCCCATTTCCAATACTTAACACCTAAGCTCATTTCCTTTGCAATCTGAGGAACTACCATACATCGAATTTTCGTTGTTGACTTTAACAAATGTTTCTTTTGTGGTCACGTCTCATTGTTCCTTTATTTAAGGTATCTTCAAATGATACTCTCCTCTGCCTAAACACAGCAGCTCTTTTTTGACGGTGACATCTTCTTTCGTCAAGAACTCGAAATACTATAAAAATTAATATTTTTCACTATATAACTTTGAAAAACTTACATTCAGTATTTAAGTCTATAGTTTCGCAGACTTAGCACTAAAAATTGCAATATTTTATACTTTTATCAAAGGAATGCTATTGTGGCAAAATAAAAGCATAATTATCAACCAGAAGCAATGACCTAGTGAGCTGTTATTAACAAAAACTGTTAATGCAAAAAGCTATATTACAGTTTTAAGTAGCTAACTGATGGTGAAAATGATTAATTAAACATAACTCGAGAACATTTTTTTTAAAGCGATGCCTTTTGTGAAGCATGTTCTAAGCAAAGCTGGTTGTAACAAGAAAAATATCCAACCTTTTTAGTTAAGAATTCAGTTCAGGACTTAACTACCATGATCAACTGGGACAGCTGTATTATGATACTGGCAACTTTTTTTTAATCTAACAACATTTGCCGTTAAATTAAAAGATTTGCAAATCATTACCTGTCATCGGAAACATAGCAAAACCCATTGGCCATTTAGCCGTCTCATCATCGATAGCGTTGTCCAACGTGCACCAAAAGGGCGACCAATGTTGCACCTACCGAGCAGACAAAGATAATATTCATACAGGTAAGTCTTACACGGAACTAGCAATCAGCCATGCGGGTAACTGCATGAGGTTAAACCAGGGATGGGCAAATTACGGCCCGTGGGCCAACTCCGACCGCCGGAAGATTCTATCCGCCCCGTGGATAGAATTTTAATTTGCCGGTCCGAGGCAAATTAAAAGAAATATATATTTATATATTATATACCATCTCCTTTTCTACTTTGTTTAAATATTATTTTTTCTTCCTTTTTTTCAAAGGGCTGATGATTTTTTTTCCTTTTTCTATTTTTGTTCTAAAACATAAATTGACGGAAATAGCAAGCACAGACAGCTTTCAATTGGTAAAGTGTTAAAAATGGAAGTTATTTGTTAGTTATAGCTGTAGATTGGCACCAACAAGCGTTATCTCTTTCTCGGAAAGCAGACATATGGGAACCCAATATAGGTGAATCAGTCTTAGAAAGAAATCTTAATCTTAATTATCTTAGCTTAAAACTTAATCTTTTTGCTGGGCACCTAACTAAGAACGACTTGTCTCATTTCCCGAGGTTATACTCAATACCCTCAGTAAATGAAGAGAAGCTTAAGAATTATGAAGATGGCTTGAAAACACTGCATGCTGAGTTCGAACGAAGATTTCAGGATTTCAGTGCCATTCAAACAGAATTATTTAATTTTACTGTGCCTTTCAACGTAAATTGTGAAGCAGTGAGATCAGATTTGCAGCTTGAATTAATTGAGTTGCAGTCTAACA